TTTGTTTTTGTATGTATATAAATGCATAGGAAAAAGTCTAGAAAGAAAGTCTAAATAAATACCAAAAGGTTAGAAACAATTTTCTGTCTGAGGGAAATAAAGATCACTTGGTTTTTTTCTCTTTGGGTATCTGTATTTTGACATTTTCTGCATCAAACATGGATTGCTTGTACAGTTTTATCAAGAGCAACAGCTCTAACAGTCTGGGCTGTATGTTAGCTACAGTCTTGTGTGGGCTGTTCTTTTATTCTTAATTTCTACAGACCAAGAAAATGATGGTTAAATATACTTTTGTAGCCCAACTGCAGAGATTACACATTGATATTGAGAATCTCCGGGAGGAGAAGGACAGTGAAATCACAAGCACTAGAGATGAATTGCTTAGTGCCCGAGATGAAATTTTGCTCCTTCACCAAGCAGCAGAAAAGGCTGCCTCTGAGCGAGACACTGACATTGCTTCTTTACAAGAAGAGCTTAAGAAAGTGAGAGCTGAGCTTGAGCGGTGGCGGAAAGCAGCATCTGAATATGAGAAGGAAATCACAGGTCTGCAAAATAGTTTTCAGCTTCGATGTCAACAGTGTGAGGACCAGCAGAGAGAGGAAGCAACAAGGTTGCAAGGTGAGTAAATGTACTTTACACAAAACTCTTAATTCTTAACAATGAAAACTATATAACGTGTACAAAATAACCATGCAGGGTATTTTTTCTCTTTAACAGCAATTGGTTGTATAAAGCAGTGCTTCTCTGCTAGGGTATAAACATATTCTTCAGGTCTGCAAGTTCTACAATAAATTAAAATTTTATAACAGTTTTATATTTTATTTAAATACTATTAAAATTATTTGCCTTATAAAAGTGAAGTGGAAAAAAATACTACTCAAGTTCAAAGAAATGGAACTTCCTTGAGATATGGATGTGAAATTACAGGAATCAAAGAATAGCCATGTAAAATCTACCTGCTTCTAAAGGGAAAAAAGTATATTCTTCCTTGGAATATTTTCCTTTATCCTTTGAATTATTATTGAAGTTATGTTTCTGTATTAACACATATGTTTTGGGACTGTTTTAGGTGAACTAGAGAAGTTGAGAAAGGAATGGAATGTATTGGAAACTGAATGCCATTCTCTAAAAAAGGAAAATGTTTTGCTATCATCAGAACTGCAGCGGCAAGAAAAAGAATTGCACAAGTATGCAAGAACTCTCTCTGTTTTAGCTTTAAAATATTTATCTTAATTGTGATACTTAAATACCTTTTTGGAGCAAAATGTTCAGCCAGACTCTGGCTATTTGGCAGGTTAACCATGCTAAATAAATACTTCAGCATTTTTTTTTTCTGCCACCACCATCATCCTACATGTTCTTTCCTTTTGGTGTAGTCATAGAATATAGATTCATGAAATGCTTCCTCTCCCCTCCAAAAAAAAAAAAAAAAAAAAAAAAAA